TGACTCCCAAGGAAAGTATTAGCAGAAGCCACAACTTGGAGGAATGACTCAGTAAGGAGTCTCCAATCCCTCCCACCGCCTTGCAGCTGTCCCACCGCCATGGCCCTGGGCCTCCCTGTTGTCACACCAGATAAGCAGGGACATTTACTGAAATCCAAGGAAGAACCTGAAATGATTCCCCCACCCCCACAGAGGTGACTCCTGCTCTAAGGCAGCGGTAGGAATGATCATTTACAGGTTCCAATACGGACGGACAGATGTTTCCATGAGGCAAGAGGAAAACAAACACAATTCCCCCCGAGGCTCTCCGACTGTTCCTAGCAACACATCCATATCCGCAGCGAGCGCAGAGTTCGCAGGCCACTTTTGAAACCAGTGTCACGGATCAGGCCTGCACAGCCAACTCCCCCAAGCAGTGCCCCGCTCGCCCATCCTCTGCACCAAAGCTGCAGCTGGCGAGGTCGGATGACCCTCCAGAAGGCATAAAGAGGGACACAGGACCTAGGACCCAGGACCGCACAGTCTTGGGAAGGGGAGGAAAAGAAGGGACAGAGAGAAAAGGAAGCAATTGAGGAAGGGATGACCTTGAGAATCTCCCTGAGAGGGCGGGTCTCGCTTAAATGCCCCAACTCCATTCCAGCAGGGAGAGGATACAGGGCAGATGGAGGGCAAATAAAATGAAAATGCAGAACTTTAATCTGATAGGGGTGGGGATGTTAGGGAGAGAGGAAGTCTCTATTCACCGAGGGGCGGCTGAGACACGGGCAGTTCCTAGCGTAGGAGTGAAGCGTCCACGGAGGGCGGATGGTCTTTGCTGCCCGCAGGTGCTAGCACTCACCTGGATCACCTTCGCGCGGCTGGTGCTGGCGGTGCAGTGGGAAGCTGCGCAGCCCAGGGTGAGTGCCGCGCGGGGGCCAGGGGCCAGGCGGGGTCCAGAATAGGCCCCGCCCCCGCCTGGGGCAGCGCAGACCACGCCCCCAAGGCGGGGCTCCAGCGCCCAGGCGCGCTTTCTAAGTTTGCCAACTCCCGGCTACTGGTTGGGAGGCGGAGACTGAATTTTCTTCCTGATCTTGGACGCCCACACATTTAACTCCTCGCACTCCCATATCCATATACCTACTCCCCTAAGTGCCGTCGTGTTCCCACTTCCTAAACTGTGCCGGCAGATTGGGTTTGCAGAACAGTGGCACGTTAAATAATTTATCCCCAGCAGAGCCACCGTAGTTTAGTTTTAGGCGCTCTGGGGTAGGAGCGAGGCACAAGTTTGCACTGCGCGTGCGTGGAAGTAGTAGCGCCGGGATCGATGATGGAACGCGGGTTGCCGGATTGCTGCACTTACTGGGTGAAAGAATTTAGGGATGTCAGGGCCCAAGAGTTTCCCAGACTAAGTGTTATTGTTGTTGGTTTTGTCCAGAGCGGGAACCGAGCCCTGTGTGTTTGATCTCGGCACCGGCTCCGTGATCCTCAGACCTTTAGCAATAAACACAGGATCCAATTACGCCCTCACGTCCAACCTCGGGGTCAGGCTCTGGGAGGGCAGTCTTAAGACCGTGTGGAAACGGAAGAATAGAACTTGCTTCGAATTGCTGTAAAAGCCAAAGGAGCTGGCCACGGAAGGCACAACAATTTCCAGTTTTCGCTTGTTTTAAGTGCCCTCCCTTGTACTCCATTCCTCTGGACACACCTTGTCCTACTTAGAGTTGCCACTCCTAGGCCGCCTCTTAGCATTTCCGTTTAGGGGGTCTCTCTCACCTTTGAGATAGTGCTTGGGAACCGAATATTTTCGAGTCAAGGTGTGGAAAGGCTGGAACTTAGGGTTGGGAAGGCTCTGGGTTGAGTGGTTTGCCCCTTTTTATTGGGTTGTCATATCCACACATCTAGAAGTACTTTGAAGGCTCATAAAATCTTTACTATTGCTGTTTCCGCAATTTCTCACGCTTTCATCTCCTTAACTATAAGAAGGATTCTTCCGTATTTTAGGGTTTCTGGTATGCTGAGTGTAAGGGGCTTGTTTTGACTGAACATTGAAAGGAAACAAGTTGGAAAAACATTTTTCCATTATTGAGATATGTTGTTGGACTTGCTGACTGTTCCACCATAATAAAAGGCAGTCTGAGGTGGAAGAAGGGATGATTCAGAAATCATGAAAATTCTGCCCTCTTCTTTCCCATTTACCTCTGACCACAGACAAGTACTTAACTACTTGGGACCTTCTTTTTAAAAAGTCTAGTTATAGGCAGCGCCTGTGGCTCAGTGGGTAGGGCGCCGGCCCCCATATACCGAGGGTGGGGGTTCAAACCTGGCCCCTACCAGCTAAAACAGCAATGACAACTGCAACCGAAATAACCGGGCACTGTGGCAGGCATCTGTAGTCCCAGCTACTCGGGAGGCTGAGGCAAGAGAATTGCCTAAGCCCAAGAGTCTGAGGTTGCTGTGAGTTGTGATGCCACAGCACTCTGCTGAGAGCTACAAAGTGAGACTCTGTCTCAAAAAAAAAAAAAAATCTACTTACAAAAGCAGTATTTGTTTATTGTAGAATTTTGGGAATAGAGATAAAGCCCAATGAAAATTACATTATGGGATCATACTGCATATACTGTTTTATGCTCTGCTGTGTTCACTTTATAAATTGTAATCCATTTTTCTTTTCATTTCTTGACCCGTTCATTCTACAACATCATTTGGTAATGATTATGTGTCATTTCATAGTGTGGACATATCAATCCTTTCTCGTTAGAGTTAGCTTTTTTTTTTTTTTTTTGAAAAAAGCCCACTTTGTCTCTTTAGGTAAAGTGCCCTCAAACTCTTGGGCTCAAGGGGTTCTCTTGCTTCAACCTCACTTAGTAGCTGGGACTACAGGCATCTGCCACAAACCCCAGCTATTTTTAGAGATGAGGTCTCGCTCTGACTCAGGCTAGTCTCAAACCTGTGAGCCCAGGCAATCCACCTGTCTCAGCTTCCCAAGTGCTGGGATTACAGGTGTGAGCCACCGTGTCTGGCCAGAGTTAGCCTCTTTTCAGTTCTTTTCTTTCTTTCTTTTTTTTTTATTGAATGGTAACTGTGTACATTGATGCCCTTTGGGGGTACAGTGTGGTGTTTTCATACATAATCCAAGACACTTCCATCAAACTGGTTAACATAGCCTTCATGTAACTTTCTTAGTTATTATGTCAAAACATT